AGCGCTGATCTCCACCGCAGTGAGGGACCGGTGTACGCACCTGGTGATCGAGTCTGGCTCTCTACCAGAAACCTGCCCCTCCGCCTGCCCTGTCGGAAACTGGGTCAGCGGTTTGTAGGGCCATTTAAAGTCCTGAGAAGGTTGAACGAGGTATGTTATAGATTACAGCTACCTGTGGAGTATAAGTGTATTAACCCCTCGTTCCATGTGTCCCTTCTCAGGCCGGTGGTAGCGGGCCCGCTCCAAGTAAATGAGATAGGGGAGACTCCCCCGCCCCCATTGGACATCGAGGGGGCACCGGCGTACTCCGTGAGGTCCATCTTGGATTCGAGACGTCGGATGGGGGGTCTTCAGTATCTAGTGGAGTGGGAGGGGTACGGTCCGGAGGAGCGGTGCTGGGTGCCGAGGAGAGACATTTTGGACCCGTCGCTCCTGACGGAATTCCATCGGGGGTATCCGACGCGCCCTGCTCCACGTCCTCCGGGTCGTCCCCGAGGCCGGAGTCGGCGCACGTCTGGAGCCGCGCGTCAAGGGGGGGGGGGTACTGTCACGGTTTCGGCCGAGGCTGCCTCTCTCCCTTGTTCGGGCAGGTTTCGGCGTTCGTCGTCTCCGGAATTCTAGCTGCCACCGTTGCATGTTCCATGTTTCCTGTTTGATTAGTTTTGTCTGTTAGCCACACCTGTCTTGTGTTATGTCTCATTAAGCACCCTATTTAGTTTCCTTGTTGTTAGTGTAGTGTTGTGTGTAATTGTTTCGTGTCAGGTGTTTGTGCGTTACCCGTGTTTCGGTACGCCAGTTACGATTTAACTTCCTCCTCGGTTGAGGAGAGTTTTTGCACCCTGTGTTTGTGCGCTCGTTTTGACGCCTGTGTGTGTCTGTTGGCCTCTGGCCGTTTTTGGATTATTTTGCACTCGCTAGTAAAGTCTTGTTGGACTGTACATCTGCTTCTGCGCCTGATTCCACACCTCACCATTTCTAACACCGTGACACCCCCGTGGGAAACAAACCCACAACCCTGGCATTGCAAACGCCATAACTGAGCTACACGATACTAATTGAAGTGGATTTAACAGGTGACATCAATAAGGGATCATAGCTTTCACCTGGATTCACCTGGTCAGCCTATGTCATGGAAATATGTTTTGTACACTCACTGTAACTGTACACAGAAACCTCAGTTTCTCCTTATCCAAGTCCAATGTAAGCTCTGAAACTGCCTCTATAGTGCCATGGTTATGGAAAGAGAAACAAATATCTGAATAAAGTGTCTTCATCATGCGTTATGTACAGACGGTTAGTCAGAAACTCTTTCCCTGTACCAGTGCTTCAAATGACTGCTGGCTCTGCGGAATACCTCACAGGCACAAGCCTGAGTATTCCCAGAATGCCACACAATTACTTTGGATTTACTTTGTCAACTCTGGAGTTTGAGAACAGAGGAGGATGAATCTTTAGGCAGTCAGAGGTATAATCCAATTCTCTCAATACCCTGAAAATACACTCAAAATGTATTTAGTAGATCTCTCATCCGTGAAACAAGACATTTGTCGTCCCGTACAGTACTGTACAATACTTGCCCTTAGATTTGAGTAGCAGCAGCTTGTCTAAAATGCCTCTGGCAGTGGATCAATGCACATGTCCAGTTAGTTTTGTTGAACAGGGTCAAATGAACAGACTCAATGTATTTGGTTGGGTAATGTCATTGATTGTTTTGCCTTGTCTCATGGGACTCATGCTGCCTGTTTGTTCCAAATGATTTAACTGAAGGTGTACGCTGCATCCAATCCAACTGTATAGATTCTTCATGGTTAAATATCCATCCAGTGCAAAATAAAAACATTGATTATGAGCGGAGGTCTTACTGTTGATTAGGAAATACCATTGAACTAAGAACAGTAAGACTAAACTCACACTTAACTGATTGCGTGATACCTCATTATGCAGACATGTTAGCTTTATTCATAATCAGGTGTTGTCCTTTGACTTGTGTCTCAGTAAATCCTCATGTGTTGAACAGTAATAAACCAGATTGCATGGCCAGATCTGATCATCTTTATTTATCCCCACTGCCACTGCTGTCCACTAACTCAGCACACCCTGCTCCTCCAACCAATCATCAAGCCAATATTTAGCTAACAAAGGTCAGTGAACATGCCCCACTTTTCCATTTTCCATTCATTTCCATACTAATGTTAGTTGTATACATCATGATTTTGTATATCTCATTATATAAAAGAGATACAATCATAAAGTGTCAAAATGTTGAAAATAAAATAATGTGTTGGTGTACAAGAGGCGTTGAAAAGGACTGATTCATTTGAAATGATCTGATTCTCTTTCATGAAATGGGCATAACATGGTGCACAAAATTAAGAGGATTAAAAATAAGTTTGAAGTGGTCTTCAAGAAGGAGATAAAAAAGTCTCATGTAGAAAATGGGGAAATTAAAAAACTATGTTCAAAGTCGATTACTGTAAGAGGTTTTAAAAGATATGCAAACATATTAACTGGAGGACTAAGAGGCTTTGCAAATCCCCTTTCATAAATTAAAATTTTTATTCCTAAAGTGTCCAGAGTGGCAGAAAAAAAGATTAAACTGGTCAACTTTGAACTGAGGGGCAAAGTAACAATCTTATCTCGACTCACAGGAAAGAGCTAAGTGAAAGACTGTTGTGTCACTACTTTGGACTTAATAACTGCTACTGTAAGTGAAAGATTGAAAGTGTTACCGATTGTTGTGTAAATTATCGACTTAATCTTACACATGAATGATTGTTTAACTATTATTGACTTACTACTATAAGTGGCATAATGCTATGTAACGATAATCGACAAAATAAATGAAGGATTATTTAAGCAATAACGCCCTCGAACCCAGGGATTATGGCGTGGTAACTCCTGACTAAGGGCTGTTCTGAGGCCCGATTTGAAGACGATTCTAATCACTCTATTCATTCGACGTTGCTATGCTAAACAAATCATTGGCATGTAGATAGCTAGCAGAGATTCAATGATGATGAGAGATAAGAACTTCAATAAATAATTATTTTATAAATATCCTACTTTTGCATTCTGAAGTTACTACGCAAGCGGGCCTGTCGTTAGTTATTTTCTCATGTTTTGACCCAGTCGTTAATTGTAATCATTCTATTCATTCAACGTTGCTATGCTAAACAAATCATTGGCATGTAGCTAGCTAGAAGAGATTCAATGATGATGAGAGACAATAACTTCCAATAAATAATGATTTAATAACTATCTAATAGGCGACATACAAAGAGCTCGCATTTGTCAAATTATACATTGTTGCACAGGTCGTAGAGGCAGACAGGTATGTTTATACAACCCCAACTATTGCAAACCAAATAGTAGATTGGAAAAATAATGTGTAGATGCTTTTTCCCCGAAGGAGTTAAGTTATGAATTTCCTGCCTGGGCTGTGGGACAGTGGAATTATGACATTAACACGTCATGGTATTTTGCGGGAGTTGTTGTCCCACAACTCCTGCATATCAACCAATCAGCATCCAAGATCCAAACAACATGTTGTATAATGTTGTATAACTATCATCGTCTTAATCCTACACTTAATCCTACACAACTATTATTGACTTAATAACTACACTGAACAAATATATAAACGCAACATTCAAGTATTTCACGACTCGGAATAGATATATGCTGTTGGTCACAGATAATGTTTTCTGATGTCAACATTGTGAACAGAGTGCCCCATGGTGGTGGTGGGGTTATGGTATGGGTGGACAACGAACACAATTGCATTTTATCAATGGCAATTTGAATGCACAGAGATACCGTGACGAGGTCCTGAGGCCCATTGTAGTGCCATTCAACCGCTGCCATCACCTCATGTTTCAGCATGATAATACACAACCCTATGTCACAAGGATCTGTACACAATTCTTGGAAACTGAAAATGTCTCAGTTCTTCCATGTCCTGCATACTCACCAGACATGTCACCCATTGAGGATGTTCGGGATGCTCTGGATCGACGTGTATGACAGCGTATTCCAGTTCCCGACAATATCCAGCAACTTCGCACAGCCATTGAATAGGAGTGGGACAACATTCCACAGGCCACAATCAACAGCCTGATCAACTCTATGAGGCATGCAGCGCGACACATTTTTTAAAACCTTTTTTAAGGTATCTGTGAGCAACAGATGCATATCTGTATTCCCAGTCATGTGAAATCCATAGATTAGGGCCTAATTATTTTTTGGGGTGAAGTTTATTAATTCGACCATTTAAAAAAACAAGCACTCATAAAACTTGAAAAAGCCATACATGCACATGAATAAAATCATTGAGGATAACACACAATAAAGTCTGGGACTTATTTCCATTGTGGTCCTCTTAATTTATTTCAATTGACAAATTTCTTTATAATCTTTGAAATTGTTGGATGTTGCATTTATATTTTTGTTCAGTATATTATCGACTTACTTCATAACTGTTACTACACATGAATGATTGTTGTTTTACTATTATCTACTTATCTTAAATACAGCACATTAATATGTATTGTGTAATATTGGACTCAACACAGATTGCAAGACTAAATTCATGCATTTTATATTTGGCCTATAGGAGCAATCAGCTATGAGTACACATATTAATTTGATCACTCTTTTGTTGCTGAGAATTGTCCTGCATTACAGGAAATGCAGATGAGCTTTGTGAATTACATAAACTCACTTGAAAACCAACACTAACACACGGTTATATTAACAGTATTGCACTTTTCATTGTAGCCTACTTTTGGCCAGCTAATAGCCTAACCACTGATCAAGCAACATTATGGACTAAACGTTCAAATCCTGTTGCTGCAATATTATTTTGCTGTGACAGTATAGTTCAAATTAAGATCCTACATCTGTATATTTCTGTTAACCCTATTGAATATACTTGTACTTGGATTGTAGCCCTTAAGTAATGTGACCATACATTTACAATCCTCTCACTCCTCTTTTCGCAGGGAGCACTTACAGAGAATGCATGGATAATGGAACGTGGGCTCTGAAGAGCAACTACTCCAGTTGTGAACCCATTTTGGAGGAGAAGGTTGGTATGACTATTGGTTATGCAGATCAAACCCTATGCCTTCTCCTTTATTATGCTTGTTGCAAGTAATCTGTTAGAGACAATGTTAACAACCAGAACCACATACACTACATAACCAAAAGTATATGGACACCTGCTCATCGAACATCTCATTCTAAAATCATGGGTATTAATATGGAGTTGGTCCCCCCTTTGCTGCTATAACAGCCTCCACTCTTCTGGGAAGGTTTTCCACTAGATGTTGGAACATTGCTGCGGAGACTTGCTTCCATTCAGCCACAACAACATTAGTGAGGTCGAGCACTGATGTTGGGCTATTAGGCCTGGCTCGCCGTCGGCTATCCAATTCATCCCAAAGGTGTTCCAATGGGGTTGAGGTCAGGGCTCTATGCAGGCCAGTCAAGTTCTTCCACACCGATCTCGACAAACCATTTCTGTATGGACCTCGCTTTGTGCATTGGGGCATTGTCATGCTGAAACAGGAAAGGGCCTTTGCCACAAAGTTGGAGTCACATAATTGTCTAGAATGTAATTGTGTGCTGTAGTGTTAAGATTTCCCTTCACTGGAACTAAGGGGCCTAGCCCGAACCATGAAAAACAGCCCCAGACCATTATTCCTCCTCCACCAAACTTTACAGTTGGCACTATGTATTCGGTCAGGTAGCGTTCTCCTGGCATTCATCACTCCAGAGAATGCGTTTCCACTGCTCCAGAATCCAATGGCGGCGAGCTTTATGCCACTCCAGCCGACACTTGGCATTGCGCATGGTCATCTCAGGCTTGTGTGCGGCTGCTCGGCAATAGAAACCCATTTCATGAAGCTCCCGACGAACAGTTCTTGTGCTGACGTTTCTTCCAGAGGCAGCTCTAGCAGGGCAGAAATTTGACGAACTGACTTGTTGGAAAGGTGGCATCCTATGACGGTGCCACGTTAAAAGTCACTGAGCTCTTCAGTATGGCCATTCTACTGCCAATGTTTGTCTATGGACATTGCATGGCTGTGTGCTCGGTTTTATACACCTGTCAGCAACGGGTGTGGCTGAAATAGCTGAATCCACTAATTTGAAGGGGTGTTCACATACTTTTGTGTATATAGTGTCCTCAGATCAACCTGTTAGAAATGATGACGTACGATATGTACTAGATAACACCAATTCAAATGATATCTTTGGAATGATTGTGTAACATGATAAGCAGATTATTTTCATGCATAGTTTAGGACATTCAAAATGCTTATATTTATGTTTTCTGCTTTACTGATGTCACAAATACGGAAGGATTTTCACATGTAGTGCGCAATTAGTTGTGGCCTAATTATCTCACATTTCTGATTAGGACATATTTATAGCACATTTACTATATAATAACAGTTTAGCTGTATTCTGCAGTGCTATTTTAAGTTTAACTTTCAACGACACTAGCTACTCCCTTTTTAAGGTTCAGAAGCAGGTCCTTCAAATATTAGCTCAATACACAAAACTCTGGTTTATGCAAATCAGTATAAAATGTGGAAACAAATGAAATCCTAGCTTTTTGGAATGTTTATTTATTTTTACTAATCCAGTCAGCTAAAGTATGTAATTTATCATCAGAATGTTCCACATTTCCATTTGTATGTATTATTGATATCTTTTGAAGGTGAATTGTGCATTGCAAATGTATGTCTCTGTCAATGTGTATATAACCCCTTTATTTTTTATTTTTTGTGTCTATCGAGATTTTGAAGTAGATCTTGTGATATTCTCCCCACAGAGGAAATATCCAATGCACTATAAGATTGCTCTGATCATCAACTACCTAGGCCACTGTATTTCTGTGGGAGCTCTTGTCATAGCCTTCATTCTCTTCTTATGCTTAAGGCAAGTACATTTACATTTACATTTTACATATTTAGCAGACGCTCTTATCCAGAGAGACTTACATGAGTACAGAAATGGTACCCTTCTAAATGTATCTGCAGTGCATGTGACCTCTTTCAAAATAATGAGTGAAATGTATGTGAACTGCAGGACTGCCCTCCTATTAGGCTAACTCGCTTAATGTATTTTAGGTGTCTATGGAAAGTATACACTGTGTTTTGATGGTTGTTAATCTAACATAAAAATATATAAAATATCATTGATCAAGTAAATTGTACCCAAGAATAAAATGTGGTCAAATGTATACCTGTCGCCTGCTATAGGAATATGTTTAGGACCGGAATATTGTAACTTTAGGTATGTAGACTAAAACATTGGTTTCTTTATTTCCATCTGTAGGAGCATAAGATGCCTCCGAAACATAATCCACTGGAACTTGATAACAACCTTCATTTTGAGGAATGTTATGTGGTTCCTACTTCAGTTGATTGATCACAATATACATGAGAGCAATGAGGTAACATTCGTTACATATTATTATTTATTTGAACAATTCACATGACTGTTAAGCTTTTTATTGCAATAATAACTAACTATGTTTGTTTTTCTATCTTTCTACAGCCTTGGTGTCGTCTTATAACGACGATATATAACTATTTTGTGGTGACCAATTTTTTCTGGATGTTTGTTGAAGGATGCTACCTTCACACAGCCATTGTGATGACTTATTCAACGGACAAGCTAAAAAAATGGGTCTTCTTGTTCATTGGCTGGTGTAAGTGCATGATAATTAATAATGTTCAGCATCACCAAGCTTTTGAGTACCAATTTACTATGTCAGACTATGACAAGTGACTGACTTCTATCATAAAATTCTGCATAAGGCAGTACTGACACCGCCTAAATATTAAACATGAAATGGTAGTTTACCCTCTTTTCAAAACTGTCAACCATATTGTCACCTCCATGAGCCATTGTGACAGTCTGGTTAAAAAAAACTGTTTCTAGAAATAGGAATATCAATTTACTGTAGCTATAAGAGGTAAATCCCCACAAATTACACAGAACAGACCAGGGATTTTATTCATTCACCACCATCACAAAGGGTGGATGCTACAGAATGCTTGAGTATACGTATTTAGACAATGAAGCTAAATATCGCTCATTAGCAAAACAACATTCCATCCCATTTCCCTCAAAGCACCTTGTGTGATTAAACCAAAAGCATCTAATTTCAAGAAAATACCAAATGCTATTGGATTGTGCGGAAATCAGAGGTGGTTGTGCATCAGTTCAGGCGTGTGATTGAGCGAGCAATTGATGGGATGGGCAGCAGATGCCACCAGTCATCACCACATAGATTACCCACGCTCACCTAGAGCTGAAGTGTTAGTGAAAGCACATTGCAGTCAGGAGAGACTAACACTTACAGTGGGGAAAAAAAGTATTTAGTCAGCCACCAATTGTGCAAGTTCTCCCACTTAAAAAGATGAGAGAGGCCTGTAATTTTCATCATAGGTACACGTCAACTATGACAGACAAAATGAGAAAAAGAATTCCAGAAAATCACATTGTAGGATATTTTATGAATTTATTTGCAAATTATGGTGGAAAATAAGTATTTGGTCAATAACAAAAGTTTCTCAATACTTTGTTATATACCCTTTGTTGGCAATGACACAGGTCAAACGTTTTCTGTAAGTCTTCACAAGGTTTTCACACACTGTTGCTGGTATTTTGGCCCATTCCTCCCATTCCTATTTTGGACACTCCTCTAGAGCAGTGATGTTTTGGGGCTGTCGCTGGGCAACACGGACTTTCAACTCCCTCCAAAGATTTTCTATGGGGTTGAGATCTGGAGACTGGCTAGGCCACTCCAGGACCTTGAAATGCTTCTTACGAAGCCACTCCTTCGTTGCCCGGGCGGTGTGTTTGGGATCATTGTCATGCTGGAAGACCCAGCCATGTTTCATCTTCAATACCCTTGCTGATGGAAGGAGGTTTTCACTCAAAATCTCACGATACATGGCCCCATTCATTCTTTCCTTTACACGGATCAGTCGTCCTGGTCCCTTTGTAGAAAAACAGCCCCAAAGCATGATGTTTCCACCCCCATGCTTCACAGTAGGTATGGTGTTCTTTGGATGCAACTCAGCATTCTTTGTCCTCCAAACACGACGAGTTGAGTTTTTACCAAAAAGTTATATTTTGGTTTCATCTGACCATATGACATTCTCCCAATCCTCTTCTGGATCATCCAAATGCACTCTAGCATACTTCAGATGGGCCTGGACATGTACTGGCTTAAGCAGGGGGACACGTCTGGCACTGCAGGATTTGAGTCCCTGGCGGCGTAGTGTGTTACTGATGGTAGGCTTTGTTACTTTGGTCCCAGCTCTCTGCAAGTCATTCACTAGGTTCCCCAGTGTGGTTCTGGGATTTTTGCTCACCGTTCTTGTGATCATTTTGACCCCACGGGGTGAGATCTTGCGTGGAGCCCCAGATCGAGGGAGATTATCAGTGGTCTTGTATGTCTTCCATTTCCTAATAAGTGCTCCCACAGTTGATTTCTTCAAACCAAGCTGCTTACCTATTGCAGATTCAGTCTTCCCAGCCTGGTGCAGGTCTACAATTTTGTTTCTGGTGTCCTTTGACAGCTCTTTGGTCTTGGCCATAGTGGAGTTTGGAGTGTGACTGTTTGAGGTTGTGGACAGGTGTCTTTTATACTGATAACAAGTTCAAACAGGTGCCATTCATACAGGTAACGAGTGGAGGACAGAGGAGCCTCTTAAAGAAGAAGTTACAGGTCTGTGAGAGCCAGACATCTTGCTTGTTTGTAGGTGACCAAATACTTATTTTCCACCATAATTTGCAAATTAATTAATTAAAAATCCTACAATGTGATTATCTGGAATTTCTTTTCTCAATTTGTCTGTCATAGTTGACGTGTACCTATGATGAAAATTACAGGCCTCTCTCATCTTTTTAAGTGGGAGAACTTGCACAATTGGTGGCTGACTAAATACTTTTTTTCCCCACTGTATGTTAGAAGCTGACTCACACCATGGAGAGGCACCTGAAATGACACTGGAGTAGGCTTGAGTCATTTGCCTCAGCTCAGCTCAGTGCTGAGCCATCTTGCCGTTTTCTTTATGTAACATGTAGTGTAGGACTTTATATGCACTGGCATAATTTTTTTTATCTGAATGGATATGTATATAGCTCACATTTAAGTGAATCATCCCAAAGAACCCTTTGAACTTATTGTAGGCTATGGTAAAGGCCAGGGTATAGTAAATACAGCCAGTATAGTTATTAGAAATCTCATTTTGGCCGTCTGGCATGTGGGTTAATTTAACATAGACTTGATATTTTTCTTGATTAGAACAACTAAGCGTTGTCTAGGTATTTGTATTTATTATGGATCTCCATTAGCTACTCTTCCTGGGGTCCAGACACATTAAGGCACATGACAAAATAATGCTGTCGGATTAATTAGGGGATGGTACATGTTTAGTGCCCCTCCCTATAAGCATGCTGAAAGTCAGTTGTTAATTTGTTTACTGTGAAATAGCATTATATCTGGTCAAACACAATGTTTTCCAAAAGTTTACTAAGGGTTGGTAGCAGGCTGATTGGTCAGCTGTTTGAGCCAGTAAAGGGTGCTTTGCTATTCTTGGGTAGCGGAATTACTTTTGCTTCCCTCCAGGCCTGAGGGCACACACTTTCCTGTAGGCTTAGATTGAAGAGATTACAAATAGGAGTGGCAATATAGTCCGCTATCATCCTCAGTAATTTTCCATCCAAGTTGTCAGACCTAGGTGGCTTGTCATTGTTGATGGAAAATAATTTGTTCACCTCTTCCACACTCACTTTAGGGAATTCAAAATGACATTGCTTGGATTGACAGAGGCATTCAGGGGAGTTAGAGGAATATAAATTAGGTTACTTACATTATGACTTCCAACACCCTTGGGAAAGTATTAGAAGGGCAGCAGGTAGCCTAGCGACTAAGAGCGTTGGGCCAGTAACCGAAAGGTCGCTGGTTCGACTTCCTGAGGTGACTAGGTGAAAAATCTGTTGATGTGCCCTTGAGCAAGGCACTTAACCCTAATTGCTCTGGATAAGAGTGTCTGGTAAATGTAAGATGACATAGCCTAATACAGACAGAAGCATGTCTGTTCTAGTAAATATATTCTCAAGTACTTTATTTTCTCTGTTACGCTGTGTGCACTGAACTGACATGCATGATTGCTGCTGACACTGATGTTCAGATGAAGGGAATTAAATAGTCTATAATGCGCACCATCGCAGTGCTCAACTCAAACAGCTGTGTGTAGCCTACTATAGCTAATGGCAAAATAATTCAAAGCCTATACTTTTTCACTTAGGATGTAACTTTCCAGTGCTACTATTTTTGCCATGTAATGTTGTTACTAAAACTGAATCAGACAACCCCATAGTAGAATAGTTGACCTAGTTACCTAGTCGGCTTGTTGTTGTGTGTTCAATGCGAGAGTAATATTCCTCTCGAGGCGCATTCAAGTCGGGAAAGCCATAGGAGGAAAACATGTATTCTGACAAGCAGTCAATGCACAAAAATTCTTCATGCAATCACGGGAAAACACTTTTGAAAGCAGTTTTGGCAAATGTATTTTGTAAAGGAGTTTTGGCCTTTGTTATTGTTTATTTCTCTACTCCTTCAATTGTTTTTTTTGTTTTTTTACAAATGCAGTTTTACAACCAGACTTTCTAGCATTGTTCAGGCCCAGCTGCATAATAGAGCTCTTAATAATATGGGCAATTGCGTCTTAAAACGGCAATGACAAATCAAATTTTATTTGTCACGTGCCAAATACAACAGGTGTAGACCTTACAGTGAAATGCTTACTTACAAGCCCTTAACCAACAATGCAGTGTTAAGAAAAAAAAGTGTTAAGTAAATAATAAGTAAATAGATAAGTAAAAAATAACAAATACAAATTATTAAACAGCAGCAGTAAAGGGAGGCTACATACAGGGGGTACCGGTACAGAGTCAATGTGCGGGGGCACCGGTTAGTCGAGGTAATTGAAGTAATATGTACATGTGGGTAGAGTTAACATTTACATTTTTTTTTACATTTTAGTAATTTTAGCAGACGCTCTTATCCAGCGCGACTTACAGTTAGTGAGTGCATACATTTATTTTATTTTTTTTCATACTGGCCCACCGTGGGAATCAAACCCACAACCCTGGCGTTGCAAACGCCATGCTCTACCAACTGAGCTACGTCCTTGCCGTCCATTCCCTCCCCTACCCTGGACGACTGTGCGCCGCCCCATGGGTCTCCCGGTCGCGGCCAGCTACAACAGAGCCTGGATTCGAACCAGGATCTCTAGTGGCACAGCTATGCAGTGTGCTATGCAGTGCTTTAGACCACTGCGCCACTCGGGTGACTATGCATAGATAATAAACAGAGTAGCAGCAGTGTAAAAGAGGGAGTTGGGTGGGGTGGGGGTGGGAGGGAGGGAGGGACAATGCAAATAGTCTGGGTAGCCATGATTAGCTGTTCAGGAGTCTTATGGCTTGGGGGTAGAAGCTGTTAAGAAGCCTTTTGGACCTAGACTTGGCGCTCTGGTACCGCTTGCCATGCGGTAGCAGAGAGAACAGTCTATGACTAGGGTGGCTGGAGTCTTTGACAATTTTTAGGGCCTTCCTCTGACACCACCTGGTATAGAGGTCCTGGATGGCAGGAAGCTTGGCCCCAGTGATGTACTGGGCCGTACGCACTACCCTCTGTAGTGCCTTGCGGTCGGAGGCCGAGCAGTTGCCATACCAGGCGGTGATGCAACCAGTCAGGATGCTCTCGA